AGTTCCTATTATCACGTGGTCCTGTATGAGCTGTGTCCGCGTGATTTATGACTACTTACATTAATGGTACCGTCATATCGATCACCGCTTGCGGCATTCGTTTACAACAATATTAATATGACTTCATCCAATTTTTTTAACGTCATAAATTTTTTATCTTTTAGATAACGGTAAAATGTACAGTTACACGACAAATGATATTAAAATGCGTGAAACAGATGATAGAATTACCAAAAGAGATAGCAATTGTGCATCCATTAATAGTTTTTCAACGAGACTATGAGCAACAAGTAACATACAGCAGTTGATTAATTACTTTTTACTATTCAAATAAATTCTTATTTTATTCAGCTAGTGCCACTGATGTTAGAAGTTTTATATCCTCAAATGAAGGTGCTACCCTCAGAACTAAATTTTGGCGATGTTGTTATTGGAAACACAATAAAGAAGTCAGTAACTGTATTAAACTGCAGAGGTAAACCTTTCGAATTAGAATAACGTTAGATAGTACCAAAAAGTGACGTCATTGTTTATAATAAATAATTTGTTGTTATTTCAAGCAAAAGAACTAAACATACGAGTAGTATCAGAATCTAAATGCGGGGAATTTGTCGTTCTTCCTCAACAAGCAACTATAGGGAAAGCAACAAGTGGTGGTAATGCATACGTTCTTTTATTCATCTATTTTACTCCAAGGTACAAAATACGGTCTCACTATTTCAAGTATTCCATTTATTATTAACAAATACTACAATGGCAGGGACACTTTGGAATATCACCAAGTGATTGAGGTGCACACTCCTATTCCAAGGTACAAAATACGGTCTCACTATTTCAAGTATTCCATTTATTATTAACAAATACTACAATGGCAGGGACACTTTGGAATATCACCAAATGATTGAGGTGCACACTCCTATTCCAAACTATAAAGACGTAATAACAATGTCCGGTTTTGGTGTATGGGATACCCGATATCTTGTTGAGACAATTTAAACAATGAGGGATTTATATAATAAAAATTCCAAAATAATGGGGACATTTTTATTGATAACTACCGTTTTACAAAACATGCTATGAAAAAACCAACCGAATCAATGTCACAGTCGGAATCAAATCTTTGAAGACATGAAAGTTGCTCATCATTTAAGCCATTAACGAAAAATCCTCTAGTGCCAAAGGAGTTTTCGACTTTTACAAGTTTTAAAGAAGAAAATTTTTTTAATGCCCATGCAACAATTTCTTCATTTTCGGCTACGGTTATTGTACAAGTGCTATACACAAGAGTGCCACCTGGTTTTAATAAATTTGCAGCCTATGAACAAATTGTGTACCTCAATATACATGTAATCAACAGTCAACACTATTTATTAATGTAATTTTATTTTACAAAATAAACGATTCCTAAACTTATAAAATTTTAATAAAATCGTAGTCAGCTATATTTAATTTTTTTGTAAATGAACAAAAATTAACAAAATAAACACATGTTCAAATGTACACATGTAAGACACTAATTTTTTAGCAACTACTAGTAACTACACGATCAAAACAACTTCGCCTTAGTTGATATGATTGGGGAATTACCGAACATGTATGTGTACCGGAGATTTACAAGAATGGAGCAACATCGATTTTTAAGGCCAATGAACTTTCGTTTCTATATTTTATTTCGTTTATTTTATTCGCGGTTTAGCATAATTAATATGTCAGTCACATTATTGGGTTATAAATAATATTCAATAACTATCATATCTAAGTAAAATTACTCAAATAACAGCAATATAT